CTCTATCCCCACCCCTTCCCCCTCTCTCTATCCCCATCCCTCCTCCCTCATTCCTCTATTACTATACCACTGCTACCCTATACATGTCTTCCCTAGACTAACCAGGACTTCCATTAAATAAGTCAAAGATAGTAAAAGTATACTGTCCTTGTGTCATGCCTGGGTCCATACACTCACAGCATTATAAGCTTGATAAAAAAAATCAATATGAATATTTTTTTAACAGTATATTTTCTAAACTAGTACTGAAATATATTAATTTACCAAACAAAATATCTAAAACGCTGTAGGGTTATGTTAGACTAAAGATAAAAACATGAAAATGCAGGTTTATTTTCAAAAATTTACCGAAAGGAATTTTGATGAAATTGATTTGTAAAGCTAACAATGCTTTTGAAGATGTCTGGCCTGTATGCTTATCATTGTAACAGCTGTAAGACACAACTAACTCTGTTCCTCTAGGTCTGGGTATGGCAAGCATGCCTTCCGGAGCCATTGATTTGATTACTCTATACAAGATATGGACTGAGGAATGCATTTTCTGTTCTTAATTACTGTGACACAATACAGACTATAGTAATTGATGTGCCCTGCTAACAGGTAGGGTTATTTTTCTGTACCAAGTGATTAATGACTTCGTAATACCGTTCACATTTTACTGTTTGCTTGGGCAATATTTACATTGAGGTAGAATGATATTTCGGATCATATTTCCTCAGCACTTTTCGTTTGTCCTTTTTAAGGGTGACTTTCAAGTATAGAATATACCTTTTTCCAAAAAGGGGAATATAAATTTACAGTTGAGGATTTTATGTTAAATATAAATACTTTAAATGTACATAAGTAACTTCTTATTGGTATCAAAGATAAAAATGGTAAAATCAATGGTAGATATATTTCAATACTATCTTTTGACAGCCTTTAAATTATTTTCGCTTTGAATGGATATGCATTGAGTAAATCTGATTGACCAATATTCAGGTCCAAAATTGATGAATAAGAACCCTTGGAGAAATTTTCATCATGATATGTTGTTTTCGAAACTAAAAGTTTTGATTGGGTGACTTTTCTTGTGGGATAATTTGAAAATTACAACTTATAAATCGAAGTAAGACAATTACCTGTACAAGAACATTGAAACGTCATTTTAATATTTTAGTGTATAAATACACGAAACATATCTTTCTAATAACATTAAATCCACTATTATAGATTTCAAACTAGATTTCCTGCTATGTGTTCCATCACTTAACAATTACATTTAGTCTTATACAACATATACAGGATCTCAAAGATGTTCCAAGTTCGTGATTCAAAGTCTCGATGCTTCAAAATTTTCCCTGATTAATCCGCAAAGTTCGAAACATCGAAATTATACAACCAAGCAGTATTTCCCTTCAAATGTTGTCCTCATGATGGCTCAATACAGCATTCAAAACATGTACACAGATAATTATATTACCACAAAAAATAGGTTTTCATGGTGCCAAGCATTGTTAATAAGTTCCGGAATTAATTTCAGAACATATTAATCCTGTCAGCACTTACGAATAGCCAACATATTGATACTTCCAGTGTGCCTTGCCCTTTATGTACTCATTAGCTTGTAAGATTACTGTTTTCCATTTTGAGCTCTTAAAACCAGAATTGAAAATGTATCTCATGGGATACAAAATTCAGAGACTTGTTGTAATCATTTAACACGATAATTAAAACCACTTGTATGAATTTATTTGTATAAGAAATTTTACTGTAAAGTTTCCTGAAGTACGGAAGGCAATGGAATCAGTCCCTAGGCCAGGTCGACATACAAAGTTTTTAAAAATGGAAGCTGTTATTCCCTCCTAAGCATTCAGCATTTAAGATATTGGTAACAACTGGTTGACCCGTTGTCAGTATAATGTGACTGGGTTGAATATTGTGCTAGATACCTTAGGCATGGTAGTTCAGTGAGGTAGCACTCTAAACGTTGGCATCAGATCCGTGTATAGCAAGGAGGTAAATTCACGAACATACCGCCCTTAGTACACATATCCACAAACATGCCACTATTAGTACACATATACACAACCATACCACCCTTAGTACACATATACACAACCATGCCACTATTAGTACACATATACACAAACATACCACCCTCAGTACACATACACACAAACATACCACCCTTAGTACACATATATACAAACATACCACCATTAGTACACATATACACAAACATACCACCATTAGTACACATATACCCAAACATACCACCCTTAGTACACATATACCCAAAAATACCACCCTTAGTACACATATACACAAATATACCACCCTTAATACACATATACACAAACATACCACCCTTAATACCCATATACACAAACATACCACCCTTAGTACACATCCATACAAACATACCACCCTTAGTACACATATACGCAAACATACCACCCTTAGTACACATATACCCAAAAATACCACCCTTAGTACACATATACACAAACATTCCACCCTTAGTACACATATATACAAACATACCACCCTTAATACACATATACACAAACATACCTCCCTTAGTACACATATACACAAAAATACCACCCTTAGTACACATACACACAAAAATACCACCCTTAGTACACATATACACAAACATACCACCCTTAGTACACATATACACAAAAATACCACCCTTAGTACACATATACACAAACATACCACCCTTAATACACATATACACAAACATACCACCCTTAGTACACATACACACAAAAATACCACCCTTAGTACACATATCATACACACAAACATACCACCCTTTGTACACATATACACAAACATACCTCCCTTAGTACACATATACACAACCATACCACCCTTAGTACACATAGACACAAACACACCACCCTTAGTACACATACATACAAACATACCACCCTTAGTATACATATACACAAACATACCCCCCTTAGTACACATATACACAAACACACCACCCTTAGTACACATACATACAAACATACCACCCTTAGTATACATATACACAAACATACCACCATTAGTACACATATACACAAACATCCCACCCTTAGTATACATATACACAAACATACCCCCCTTAGTACACATACACCCAAACATACCACCCTTAGTACGCATATACACAAACATACCACCCCTAGTACACATATACACAAACATGCCACCCTTAGTACACATACACGCAAACATACCACCCTTAGTTCACATATACACAAACATACAGCCCTTAGTACACATATACACAACCATACCACCCTTAGTACACATATCATACACACAAACATACCACCCTTTGTACACATATACACAAACATACGACCCTTAATACACATATACACAAACATACCACCATTAATACAAATACACACAAACATACCACCCTTAGGACACATATACACAAACATACCGCCCTTAGTACACATATACGCAAACATACCACCCTTAGTATACATATACACAAACATACCACCATTAGTACACATATACACAAACACACCACCCTTAGTACACATACACGCAAACATACCACCCTTAGTTCACATATACACAAACATACCACTATTAGTACACATATACACAAACATACCCCCCTTAGTACACATATACACAACCATACCACCCTTAGTACACATATTCAAAAACATACCACCCTTAGTACACAAACACACAAATATACCACCCTTAGTACACATATTCAAAAACATACCACCCTTAGTACGCATATACACAAACATACCACCATTAGTACACATACACACAAAAATACCACCCTTAGTACACATATACACAACCATACCACCCTTAGTACACATAGACACAAACACACCACCCTTAGTACACATACATACAAACATACCACCCTTAGTACGCATATACACAAACATACCACCCCTAGTACACATATACACAAACATACCACCCTTAGTACACATATACAAAAACATACCACCCTTAGTACACATATACACAAACACGTGTGCATCACACACATTCGAAGCATGTCCGTAAATGACCTTGCTGTTAATAGGATGTTAAACAAAATCAAATCAAATCCATTACTGTATCAATTGATATATATAACATAGAGTTCCTTCCCTTCTATAACTGCAAAACAAAAAATCAACAATATGTAATGAAGATTGGGAAATTTACATTACATTAAATTATGGAATGATGCATTTCAGCCTAGAAACACAGAAACTGAAAAAGCTGCCACAATAAAAAAATTGAAGTAAGAAGTTAAGGGTATGTGTTTGTTTGGTATGGGGTAATAACAATGTTGCACTGATCCAAAATATGTACATTGACTTCTCAAATATTTAAATAAATAAGAAAACTTTCGTTGCTATGGTTACAGATTGAACTGACCAAAAATCCTGTTACCAAAGTGAGCATCAAATGGTCATCTGGCTGTCACTGACCAGTGACAGGTGTGTGGATGGACCAATCAGCATTCTTCTACCCTTTCAAGCCTAAAGCCTTGGTTACCACACTGCTGTCATGATTGAAGGTAAGCTTGTAGCCTTCATTAAAATTAGCACACCACTGTCATGTTTAAGGTAAGCCTGTAGCCATGGTAACCACACCTGACTCATTAGAAAGGTATAAGCCTGTAGTCATGGAAACCACAACTGTCATGATTAAGGTTAACATGTAACCATGGTTACCACACCACTGTCATGATTAAAGTTAACATGTAACCATGGTTACCACACCTCTGTCATGATTAAAGTTAACATGTAACCATGGTTACCACACCACTGTCATGATTAAAGTGAACATGTTACCATGATTACCACACCACTTTCATGGTTAAAGTTAACATGTAACCATGGTTACCACACCACATTCATGATTAAGGTAACCCTGTAACCATGCATGGCTACCATACTACAGTCGCATAAGGTAACCCTGTACCCTTGGTTACCACACCACTTTCATGACTAAGTAAGACCTGTTACCATGGCTACCATACTGCAGTCACATAACGTAACCCTGTAGCCTTGGTTACCAAACCACTTTCATGATTAAGGTAACCCTGTAACCATGGCTACCATATTACAGTCATATAGGGTTACCATGTAGCCTTGGTTACCAAAGCACTTTCATGACTAAGTAAGACCTGTTACCATGGCTACCATACTACAGTCACATAACGTAACCCTGTAGCCTTGGTTACCAAACCACTTTCATGATTAAGATAACCCTGTAACCATGGCTACCATATTACAGTCATATAGGGTTACCATGTAGCCTTGGTTACCAAACCACTTTCATGATTAAGTAAGGCCTGTTACCATGGCTACCATACTACAGTCATATAAGGTAACCCTGTAGCCTTGGTTACTATAACACTTTTATGATTTAGGTAACCTTGTAACCATGGATACCATAATACATTCACATAAGGTTACCCTATAGCCTTGGTTACCACACCACATTCATGATTAATTTAATCCTGTAAGCATGGCTATCATACTACAGTCACATAAGGTAACCCTGTAGTCTTGGTTACCTAAGCACTATCATGATTAATTTAATCCTGTAAGCATGGCTACCATACTACAGTTACATAAGGTAACCCTGTAGCCTTGGATACCACACCACTTTCATGATTAAAGCTGACAGTGCAAGTTAAAAAGCTTTTTATACCCAGCGAGACCCATACTCGTTACCAACCAAGGACAAACTAAAATGTCGGCACTTCCTTAGAAATGATAGTCGGAAGAGGTAGGGACTGTCAGCTTTAAGATAAACAACACTTTTAAGGTGATTAATTCAGAAAGAGATTTAAAAATAATGAGCTCACATTGCTTGGTACTTTTACTTTTCCTTGTGATGTGACAATCCCTGATACTTCACAGCAGTGCTGCAGATAGCTTGCGTGAATGGGTATTCTTGCACGATAATTCACAAATTACGCAAAAGAAAAAAATGAATTTGCTTAATTCACGCAAGCAAAATCTGGAACATTGCGTCAGTTTCTGGGTCCAATTTAGCAGATTATAGTAGGCATAGTACGCAAATCAATGTCTCCTGTTACAAACGCTAACATGCGCGAGAATATTTCAGACAATTGAATCATGATGCGTTCAAAACAACAATCGCTATTTAAAATGGGGTTCGCAAGACTTCTGATCCTCCCGAACCTAGTATTGCAGATTTCATGTAAGAGACAATACAGAAATCCGAGTTTGAGTCATTTTTAACAGTATAAGTATAACACATACCAATTATTCAACTTCTTTTAACATTTTCTGGTAACGTTGCTTTTACAGCACTTCTTGTTCAAAATGTCAGTTTTCACCCCTCCACTTTGGAGAGGTCGGGGTAAAAAAACCACATGTTTGAAAGTTATCTGGAGCACTGTCGCATGTAATGTATTGAGGACTTAAGTGATGATTGCTATGTTACAAGATATTTCAATAATATTTTGTTATGCCACACCATTCAAAGGGAGGGGGCCGGGGCCATGCCGTATGTTGCTTCCTGTCCTGCGCAACTCATGTCATAACTTTATCAACTTCATTTCTAAATCTATTTTCATCATAGTTTAGACAAAATTTTGGATGATAATACCATGGATGAGTCCTTTTTCAGAGTCCCAAGGTCAACGCCAAGATACATTTGGTTGATTTTTAATGTATGATTTCTACATTGTATCATTTCTATTTCAAAATACGTTACCACAGTCATTATAATGCATATTCCAACCTTACTTGGCTCTTTACATACGTAAATAAAGAATTTTTCCCCCCATGGGGAACCCCTGGGAAACCCACCAATCAGACGGCAGTATTCACGCACGTGATTTAAGACACGAAGCCATGCTTCCCACTTCATAATTCCTTCAGCCGGCCGTGTTTACGGACGTGTTTTGGTGTCTACGGGTTCCAACTACAACAGGCGTTGTTTGTACCCATACATTTACGTATCCTTTATAACTAGTTAACTTTATTTTGTTTTAATTAAGCTTTTTGCTTTATTTTGCGCCGTTTTGCGACCAGGCTCCGACCACGTGTTCGCGTTTTTTGACGGTTTGTTTACGTTGAGATGGAGACTCCTCCTTCTCAAAGGCGCTGTCCTGGGGGTAATTTTTTTGAGGCTTCCGACCCCCACCCTTACTGTCCTGGCTGTCGGTCTTGCTCTCTGGAGCAGCCGTGTGAAATTTGCCGTGCCTGGCAGCCGACTCCTACCGGTGGTTCTCCCCGCCCGCGAGGGCGTGCAGGTAAGTCGGGTAGGAGGGGCGGTAGGGGTGGGGCGAGGGCTAAAGCTAGGCCTAAGCCCTCGGAGAGCACCAGCGGAATTCCGACCTCTGTCGAGTCTTCCCTGGGGTTCGTGTCGGCGGTTTCGACCCGTACCGGGGCCGCTGGGAAACAATTTGTTTCTTTGGACCCGCACCTTTCTCTCACCCCGCCTTCCGTTTTGTCGGTCGACGTGGGTGAGGGTTTGGGCTCTGTCCCGGTCACCACGGTGACTAGGGGACAGGGGGGCGGCCTTCTCTCCCAATTTGTGGTGGGAGGGCAGGTGGCCCAACATTCCCTTGGGAATATTAAACAGGCCAGCCATGTTGTGTCAGCGGATGCTTCTGTTGGTGGCCTCCTGCCGGTCCGCTCCACTCCTGAGGGTGTTGGTGTTGTCGGAGACCGGCCCCCGGCAGTTTTGTCTGCTCCCGGGGTTCCTTGCATCCCTGATGTAGCCCCTGGCGTGGTGATGGCGTCTAGCACGCCGTCCACCACTGTGCAGCATTTGCTGCCCGGTCCGGTGGTTAGTGATGCTTCGGCCTCGCTAGCCTCGGCTGGATTTTACGGTGGTGTGAGCACTGGTGTAAAAACCTATGCTTCCAGCTCTATCCCTTGTGCCTCCTCCCCAGGTTTTCCTATGGTAGGTGCCAGCGCAGCTGCGTTTGGTTTTGCCGGTGCACGCTGCTCCCCTGGTGGGGCTTGTTTTACTGGCCCTACAGGTTTTGGCCCTGCTGTAGGTCAGTCTGGGTGGAGTTGGTCAGGTCAGCCAGGTGTGGCTTATGGCGGCGGGTGTGTAGGTGGCCCTAGGTTCCCTACCCCGCCCCCCCAAACCGGTCCTGCCTCCGGTTTCGGGCATCAGGTTGGTGGCTCTGTTCCAGGGTCCTCCCTGGTTTATCCCACCTATTTGCAGGGTGGGAATGGAGCTCATTGGGGTCAACAGGCTCCTTTTTATGCTCCGCCCCAACCACCGACCGCCTATGGGCAGTCTTGGGGTTTCTCCCAGCAGGGGGCTTTTCCAGCCGCTCCCCCTCCACCCCAGGGTGGTATGGGTTTCCAGCCTGGATATGCCCCCCCCGCCTTCTTGCCTGCGGCGATGGGGCCCCCCCTCCATCCGCCACCGAGCCGTTCGCGCAAGCGTTCGCGCTCCCGGCCAGCTTCTGCTGCCGGTTCAGTCAGGCAGAGACCGCGTGATGCTAGGGCTGCTGGTCGTGCTGCGTTGGCTCGAGCTCCTATTTTGGAATTTGAGTCTACCAGTAACTTCCGCTGTCCGGTGTCAACTCCTACCTTACAGCAGGTTCCAGGGTCTTGTGGTCCTGCTCCTGCTGTTCCTCAGGGACTATCGATTGCCCCGATAGTTCCCTCGGGTAGGTCACGTTCTCTTTCCCCTCCTCGCACCCCTCCCCGGAGGGCGACGTTGATGGAGGTGGATTCGGCGGGTGCCTCTCCTAGTGATGAGAGGGACGTTCTTCGGGGCTCTCCTGGTTGCTCCAATTTTACGGAGACTCGGGATGAGGATAGAGTCGGCGAGTTTACTGACTCTGATTTAGAGTCGTTGGATTCGTCTGGGTTGGACTCAGAAGGCCCTTCTGATGTGTCCCAATCCCGGCCCCGAGATGCTGATCCGGTGCCTCCAGAGGTTTCGGCTTCATTTCGCACTTTACGTGCAGAAGTTATGAAGCTTCTGGGGGACGGGGTTTGCCCACGCCCTTCCACGGATTCGGCCGTCCCGGAGCGCACTTCGCTCCTTCAGAGCATGTTGCCTCCCCTAGCATCTGCCTCCTCGGCCTCTGCTAGGTCTCTTGCGGAGGGACGAGGCGTGGCTTCGTCCCTCGCTCAGGTCAACGCTTTATTAAAGCAGAAGGTGAGCAAGGCTCGCAAGCCTTTTTCCCTCTCGGCTTTACAGGTCGTGGTTGCGGACATCGCAGATTTAGCTGCAGATACGTACCGCATCCACGACCCAGTCTTGGCCCCTAATTCTGTTTCCCTTGAGAGGGATCTGGATAAGTGGCCGGGACGCTGTGTTGACCAGGTTGTGATGGGGCCTAGGGAGCACTCTAAGTTGGAGCGTCTCCTTAGGCTGGCTCTCCATGTTCTGTCCTACGCAGACTGGTTTACTTCTGCGTTGCTGGCTGCGAGCTGCAAGTCGGTGGAGCAGCTCCCCAGCAAGGTTGGACTGATGGAGCGCCTCAGCCAGGCAATTTGCAAGGCACATCTTGATGCGATGGCCTTACTGTCGGCTGCCATGTCACACCTTGTTGTTGCCCGC